TATATATTATATACATATAAATATATATATATGTAAAACTTACAACAATTCCAAGGGGATATCCAACAGTTACACCTTTTAAGCATTTTGAAGTTAACATATTATGCGTTAAAAGTTTCATTTTTTTGTTATATTATTTAATTATTTTGTTAATTGAAATAATTCGAAAAAATTATGATTTCGTTTATTAAAGTTTTATATTATAAGTTCATTACACGATACTCTTAATGCCGGCTTTTCCTCGCTTATGCACGTTCCAATTTCAAGACGCAATTCAATGTGACTAATATTTTATTATGAAAATGATATTTTCATAATTGTTTTAATATTTTAATTGTGTTATATCTAAAATAAAAAAAAATAGGATAAAATAAAAATTATTCAATTAAATTTTTAAATAGAAAATATTGATTATAAGAATTTAAATTTGATATTTATTGCGATAAATTATCTGATAGGATCACGTGATTTCTTCTATTTAATTGCACTTTTCTTTGAGAGGTTAGTTTCTTAGGAAAAATACTATTATATTATTTGGGAATAATCTATTATATTTTATTAGGTTCTCTCAAATATTTCTAAAATAATTATATCGAATTAATTCTAAACAAAATTTTATTTGATATAAAAGTATAATAAATTACAAAACATATGGTGTAACCGACACGTATATATCATAGTCCGAAGTGGAAAATAGTTTAAACAGCAAACTGACACTAGCCACATCATCTGGCCTTGATGAAAATACGCAATCAGCTGTTATTCTTGCCCGTTTATCTCTTTATATATTATATTTAAATATATTTCTACTATTATCTGCCAGTCATATTTTGACACATCACTAACTTACTCGAAAAAATAATTAAAAACTTGTATAACCTAGAACAAGTATATTTTGATTTTTCAATTTCTAATTCTTTTACAAACATTTAAAAATATATCTAATAAATATTAATAATTAAATATTATAAATTTTCCTTTTATTCGTAATAATATGTATTTTTAATAAATTTATGATACTTGTGATAATTATCAAAAAATGCTACAGAAGACACAGAAAGATAGATATCAATAGAAAACGTATTAAACGTTTAGTGCATATCAAATTTGCACTTTAATATATTATTTTGTTATTATGCAATAATGATATTTTGACAAAATAAATTACAAACTATATAGAAAAAACATGTGTGCTATTACAAATACAAGATCTTGACATCAAAAGGAATATATTTTCAAATATAAAGAAAATGGCTTGTGATTTATTTATTTGGGGATTACTAATGTTTGGATGCAGCATACAAGCCTTGTTAGTTGCATCTGAAGATGATCCATTGGAATATATGAGCAAAGAAGAACGGAAAGCATTAAAGTTTGTATCATTTTTTAATTTTATATTAAAATAATAATATTTTTATATGTATTTTTTGCATATATTTTTATACTTGCAGAGAAGAAGCTAGAGATATGTTTTGTCATGCATACAATGCTTATATGGTAAAGTTTATACAAAATTTTATTTTATTTTTCAAATAATATAAATAAATATAATATAATATAATAAATATAAATGTTTAAAAAAATTTAATAAAACCTATATAAATATAAAGTAATAAAATTTATTATACTATGAATCAGATATATAATTTTTTAATTATTATAAGATATTAAAATATATAGTATTAATGTTATAATTTTCTGATTAAAATCATTTTAATTCAAATAAATAATAAATAAATTTATATTTAGGATAATGCATATCCTGCTGATGAATTAATGCCATTAAGTTGTAAAGGAAGATATAGAGGATCAGAACCAAATAGAGGTGACATAGATTCTACATTGGGAAAGTAAGGAAAAAAATTTATTATATATTTATTATATATTTGAAATAAAATTTAAATTTAATAAATTAATTGTTTTTATAAATTTTAAAAAATAGCTTATTATATTTTTAAATTAATAAATTCTTTAATAATATATATTTAAATGATTATTATTTATTATTATTATTATTAATATTTATTATTTAAAAAATTATAATAAAGAAATACATTATAGATATATATATATATATATATATATACATATTTATGTATATTTTCAGTTTTTCTCTTACATTGGTTGATACCTTAGATACACTTGTGGTAAGAATATTGAAATTATATTAATAAGTTTCTTATGTATATATTATATAATATATATAACAAAATATAATTTATATTCATTTTTATGCATTTAATGTTTAGGTATTAGGAGATTTGGAAGAATTTGAACATGCAGTTAAACTTGTTGTCAGAGATGTTAGCTTTGACACTGATGTTATTGTTTCTCTATTTGAAACTAATATTAGAATGCTTGGGTAATATGCTTTAGAATTGTTTAATATATTATTATAGTTTATATTTAATTATTTAATTTTTTAATAATTAATATTATTATTATTAATTTAAAATAATTTATTTGATAGGGGTCTTTTAAGTGGTCATATATTAGCAGAATATTTACAGCAAAGAGCTGATATAATGCCATGGTATAGAGGTGAACTTTTAAATTTAGCCAAAGATTTGGGATATAGATTTTTACCTGCATTTAATACAACTACAGGAATACCCTATGGCAGAGTAATATTTTAATTTATTTTGATAATGAAATATTTTTCTTGTATATTCTTCAAAATATATTCATCAATATAATTTTTTTAGATAAATTTAAAATATGGTATGAAAGATGTACCTTTAGAAGTATCACGAGAAACATGTACTGCTTGTGCAGGTAGTATGATTTTAGAAATGGCAGCATTATCAAGATTAACAGGAGAACCAATTTTTGAAGTATAATATTTTGTGATAATATTTCATAAAAATGAATTTCAATGTTAATATAATATAAAAATAATATAATAATAATTATATATTAAATAGGAAAAAGCACAAAAAGCAATGGATGTTTTATGGAGAATGCGTCATCGTGGTACTGATTTAATGGGGTCTGTGTTAAATGTACATTCCGGTGATTGGGTAAGAAGAGATTCTGGTGTAGGAGCAGGTATAGACTCCTACTATGAATATTGTCTTAAAGCATATATTTTATTAGGTAATTATAATTTATCATTTAATATTATCATTTAATAAATTCATAATTTTATAATTTTATTATAAAATTTTTACTAATAATAATAAGATATAATTAAATTAAAATAATAAAAATTTTTAATTATAATATAGGTGATGAAAAATATCTTGGTCGTTTTAATAAACATTATCAAGCTGTAATGAAATATGTAAGCCAAGGACCAATGTTATTGGATGTACATATGCATAGACCAAATACAAATTCAAAAAATTTTATGGATGCTTTATTAGCCTTTTGGCCTGGTTTGCAGGTGAATATTAATTTATTTGATTTTTTTATATTTATTTGATTCTTTTATTTTTATTTTTTAGGTATTAAAAGGCGATATTAAACCAGCTGTAGAAACACATGAAATGTTGTATCAAGTTATGCAGAGACATAATTTTATACCAGAAGCATTTACTACTGATTTTCAGGTTTTTAATATTTGTAATATTTTATATTTTTTAAGATGAATAAATAAATCTTAATTGAATATTAATATATGTATGTTTTTATTTATATAATTAGGTACATTGGGGACATCATCCATTAAGACCAGAATTTCTAGAATCAACATATTTCTTATATCGTGCTACTGGTGATCATTATTATTTAGGAGTTGGGCGTAAGGTACTCAAAAGTCTACAAACTTATGCCAGAGTACCATGTGGTTATGCAGCTGTATCAGATGTTAGAACTAATAAGCATGATGATACAATGGATAGCTTCGTATTATCAGAAACTTTTAAATATTTATTTCTGTTATTTGCGGAGCCAGGCGAACTACTTTTAGATTTGGATGAATTTATTTTTACAACTGAGGGACACCTATTACCATTAACACTTGCTTCTATAAGAACTAATATTTCTTCGGTAAGTATAATAAATAAATTTAATTAAATCTGTATCAAAATATATAAATTATCAATTTTTAAAAAATTATATTAGATTGATATGATTCACATATTTTTTAATATTTATAATTTATAAAATAAAGCAAGATTTTGAACGAGATATTGTACATGTGGACGAAATGGATCGTACTTGTCCTAACAGTCTACATTTATTTCCTGCATCAGTAAGACAACCTTTAAGAAACATGGTAGAAGATGTATATCCCAGACGTGCAATAAAAAGAAGATTGAATGCTGCACAATTTCAGGTGAAGGAATATTATTGTATAGATGTTTATGCAAAAAAACCCAAAAATGTTAGGATTTCAATATATATTTAGTGAGTTTGAAAATATGGAATTGGGTAATATATTAGCATTTTAAAAGATTGGAAATTTCGAGAACTCAATATTATTTCAGAATTAAGTCAGCCACGATTATAGTTTTGAATTTCCTATCTTTTAGATATTTTTTATTTTTATTTTTTATTTTCAACAATGTAAAATAATAAAATAATGAAAGATAAAAATATAAAGCAAAAATAATGCATAAAATTATAAGTAGATTTTAAATTCTTAATAAAATTTTTCTTAATATTGCTTATCGAATTTTATTCTATTTACCGTTATAATATTATTAGCAATAAAAAAAAATTATTTGAAAAAGTTTCATTTTAATGTTGAAATAAAGAAAAATTATATGTTGTGAAAAAACTTTGAAATTATAAAAAAAAAATCATTAAAAACGATATATTAATATAAAAAATATTATTGAATATGCGCTTAAAATTAATTCCAAAATTTAATTTGAATGAATACATTTTCGAGTTATAAAATAATAATTCCGGAAATTTGATCCGATTCCAAAAAAAAAAAAGATTCTCATTTCAATCAAACATTTTCGAATTTTAATCTCTAATAATTTTAAATCTCTATTATATACAATTTAAATATTAAATACATATTAAAAGTTATTATTTTTTACTATAGGCAAATAATTTGGAACATTTAAAATTATTGAGTGACATGGGAATAACAACTTTAACTTTGGCAGATGGACGTGTGCAATTATTGCATACATTTTCTAATGTAAAATAAAATTTTTTTATATTTATTAACATATTTAAATATTTTGTTTATTATAATTTTAAGAATTATAAATTATATAATTTTTAATTTATTATAGGCAAAAACACCACAAGATTCAGAAGAAGGATTATTATTTATGCAAGAAATGGTTGAAATAAGTAAAATGCAATCTCAACAATCTGATACTAAACCACAAGCTGTTACATTTGTAAAACCAAACACAAATCCACCTCAAATAATTACATTATTAGCTGGACCAGCGCAATTTGGATTAGAATTACAAGGATTGAACAAAGTAATCGGAAAAGTTGTTTTTACATTTCCATCAACTGCATGTACTGATCTTCATAATGCAGATAAACTGACAGGCAAAATAGCAATAATAGGTCGGGGTAGTTGTATGTTTATTGAAAAGGTAAATTTTCAATATTATAAAAAATATATTGTAAAAGAATTTTTATTTAATTATTTAAATATGATAGGCGAGACGCATTCAACAAGCGGGTGCTGTTGCTGGAATAGTATTGGATAATATAGATGGTTCCAGCGCTGCAACTTCACCTATATTTGCAATGTCAGGAGATGGAAAAGAAGTAGATGATGTAGCTATTCCAGTTGTATTTTTGTTTAGTATAGAGGCTTCTGAATTATTAAAAGCAATTGCCATGGCAAATGGTGATCTTACAGTTACTCTTGGTAAGATATTAGTAAGATTACATTAGTAAGATTTTATATATATTTTATTATTTTAAATATTTCACCTATTTTGTTTTTAGGAAATTTTTTTTCAAAAGAAGATGCTCAATTGAAAGCACCTACTGATTTATCAATGTTTGAACGATTGAAGGGATCATTAAAATCTTTTCTTACGCGACAAATGACACCACAGGTCTGTATTCCTTGGTGTTTTGCAATAATTTTTATTGAATACATTCTCCTTTGGATTTTAATTCATATGAAGCAATACTAAGTTATTTTGTTATAATTTATTATGGATAAAATCTTTTATTCTTATTACAAATATGTTACATGATATAAGATGGCAATGTCAAATATTATTTCAAAATCAATCACTAAAACATAGATATTTCTTAATATTTATGATATTTATATTGAAACGATATAAAGATATATTTTTTATTCATACTGAATATTATGTAATATAAATTATTATTTAAGTTTTTATATTTTCTAAGAAATTAAATTATTGATTTTGTTATATATATATATTATATATTTATATAATATATATTATATATATTATGTTTTTATTATATTTTTATTTTTCCTTTTTTATTTTATGTATTAATTTAGTGTATATTTATAACAAATATATTTCAGGTCATTAGATAAATAATTTTCTAAAATTAAATTTTTATAATTCTTTTTATACAAATTATAAAATAAAACTAAACATCGAGAGATATTTTTTTTATAACAGACATCTCCAAGCAGTGGGACAAATTTGGACATGGTTCCTGTGATTAAACATGAAGAAGATGATAAGGACATAATCTTTTTTTACAATCTACGCGCTGAAATTATCAAAGATGCACTTGGCGGGGAAGTAAGAATTACGTCGTCTTACATATCTGTTCCACTCACGAAAGAATCAGAGGATAACACATTAATAGAAAAACAATGGCGACAGATGAAAGAATTTTTTGTTAATCATATATATTTTGATGTTAAACAAAAGACAAGCTTACAAATCAGAAGTTTTATATTAGAAAGTTATTACAATTGGATAGTAAAGTCACGAAATGGGGGTAATAACATATTAAAAATATCTTTACGAGATAAAGTTGCGTGGTTTTTAGAAGAATTAGCTGTAGTCGTACCAAATCCGTCCATTATGAAAATGGACCAATTAATGGATATTAATAAGCAAAAATTATTAAAACAATATTTATTAACAAAAATGGATATTATGGTTTTAAATATGAAAACAGTCACAACAATGTTAAAAACAATACGGTCTGAGAATCCAAATACTGAACAATTGTTCAAAATTTTCGAATTTAATATCGCGCAAGCTGGTAATTATAAGTTTTTAAAACAATTGTTACCAGGTATTTTTGACATGGAAGATGAAATTATAAGTGAACATCTTGCTTTATTAGATCGTGTTCATAAGAAATATCGTGAAATATTAACTGATGGAGCAGAAGAAAATTTAGAAAAATCAATAATAGATAAAAATTTCTATTATGATATGATAATTGATAATTGGCAGGATGATTTGAAAAATTTTGAAAAATTGGATGTATTAAAGAAAATTAAAAATCAAGATTCTACAATTATAGATTTTATGGTAGATAATGAAAGTAGTAAAACAGAAATAAAATCTAAAGACATTTCTAAAATGTCTAAGAAAAATGATGATCTTAAAGTGGGAAAATTTGAAGATTTTGAATATTTTATATTAACAGAAATAGAAAAAGCTATGAAAAATTCGGAACAAAATAATATTCGAAAATATAAAGAACATATTGAAATTTCAAGAGATGTAACAGATAACATAAGTAAAGAAGCTGCTAATTCAAATAAAGTAATTTTAAATGTTTCTTCTCAAAATCAAAGTAAAACTGATACATTAAAAAATAGAATAAAATATCAAATTGAATTTATAAAAAATAAAATTAAAGATCTTACAAAAAATATAGATTCTTTAGCAGATTTTACCAAAATTACAAACTCTCTAGAAAATGTACAATCAAATAATATGGAATTTCAAGAAACAATTACTAATAATAATAGTGCTGATGAACAAATACATAAAGAATCCTTATTATCTGACAATGATTTTCAAGAAAAAAATGCACAAATAAATACAAACAGTAGAACAATAGACAAAGATAAAAATAATGTATTCCAAAAGATTGGAAAAGAAATAGTTAATTTACAATATAATCAGGAAAATAATCCAAATTCTATTCATTTAAATAATTATAAAATTATATCCTCTAAACTGCCTAAAGAATATAAAAATCATATATCAACTTCTAAAGAAAAAGATAAAGATTTTATTAATGTTCCAAAAGAATTTGAAACTATCAATACAAATTACAATTCTATAGATGAAAATAAACTACAACATAATGAAAAACATATAAATGAATTTACAAATAAGAAAGTTAATGTACAGAAACACAAAAGCAAACATATCGATGATGAATTATAATGAAAGTTTTTAAGTTTTAAAATATTAATATTGAATATTAAATAAAAAGTTAAGTGCAAATTTTTAAATACAACAAGTTTGGCAATTCTAATCACACTGCATCTAATATTTTTGCATTAAATTTAAACATATGCAGTGAACTTTAATATTTTATACATATGAAATTTAATTTAGAAAAATATTAATTATCAAATAAAAGAAAGTGATACGAATGACCAGAACAATACTTTAAGTCTATAGAACAGGTGCTTATAAAAGAATTCAATTTTACTTTTTAGTCAAATAAATTAATAAAATTATAAAAAAGCCGTATAATACATAACAGTTTGCACAAAACATTTATCCTAATGAGGTTGTGACCGAATATTCTGTTAAAATTCTAATGAATGTAAAATTTTATATGTACAATTTAAACATATATTTCTTGTGCACATTACAGTATAATGTGACAGCATATTTTTTCAGATAAAGAATTTTTAATTACTATTATACATATTTAGAATTTTATTTCTTTATGTTTCTGTACTTCAAATATGTGCCATGATCGACAATATAAATTAATATTTCAACAAATAATGAATATTATGCTATTCATTTACAGTATAATTTTAACTTCTATTTTAAAAAAATATAAATAATGATATTATGATTAAATAGTTTCAAACTATAAACAACTGTATAAAACTGATATTCTTTAAATACAATAGTAGTATATTAACTTTATTAAAATATGTGTTATATTTTATTAAACAAAGAAACAAATGTATAAATTATTGATACAATTTTAAAAAATTTTTTTCTTTATAATAATTTTATTATAATAATTATAATTATTTTGATAATTTTAAAAATACAATATATTTTTAATTGAATATTAAGTGATATAATTGCAATTTCTGTTTATGTAAATCTGTTTATTAATCTATGCCTTACATATGTATATAAAAAATTGTACAAACGACAATGTACATATATATTTATGTGATATATAGGAAAAATAATAACAATGAAAATGGCAATATATCAAATAGGATTTATGTAAAAATTTTGGTTTTCTGAAAATTACACTATATATTTTTTTTTGCTTGTAATATATTTACAAATTATATTTTGTAAAATAATTTCAAATTTATCATATAACAATTTAGGTTTATTATGTGCCATATAAAATGCACAAGAAATACATATGTTTTAAATCAAATCAATTTAGGATATATGGGATAGAATATATATCATATACATATATCTTAAATTTATTAGATCAACTTTGTAGAATGTAACTTTGATTATGAATGTAAATATTATATAAATAAGTGTATATTAAGTATGTGTTCTACAATTACTATATAAAAGTTTGTATGATGAATGCCAAAATGGACATTGCAAAATTTATTGTAATTAAAGTAATTACTATTTTGCATAGAATTAATATGTATATATATATATGTGTATAGTATGTATATGTACATACATAAACTTATATATGTATATATATACACATACATAATTTGTTGTTTATTATATGAAAATGAAAAAGAAGAACGAATGTATGTATATGATACAAATCTGTTAAAAGTTTTTGGTACGTAAATAGAACGTGACATTTAAAAATATGAATAAACTGTTGAAATGAAGAAATTTTTTGAACAATTAAGTATTGAAAATGCATATTCATGTAAATATTTTTTAAATTAAACTATTAATTTCTTTCGTATCCATATTTAAGTTCGTAATATTTTCTTTTAATTCTTCCCATAAAAATTTTATAATCTCAAATAAAATATGAAATTTTTCTTAGTATTAATAAATTATAATTTTAATGAAAAAGAAAAGAGATATAATTATTATAGATTTTAAAAAAAAATTATCTTTTTCAAAAATATATAAATTATTTATTACAATCATATTATATGAATGATTTTATTTATTTTATAAATTACTTTATTTAATTAACAAATGCAAATAATTATTTATTGGATATTGTCTCTAAATTATAGAATAATTTTTTTATCTATATCAATTTTTTATCTATGTCATATATAAATAAATACTAACATTGAAAAATAACAGAAATAAATAATAAATAATACCAACAAATATTTGATGAACAATATAATATTTTTTAAAAATTAATTTATATTAATTCATATATAATATATAATATA